AATTTAGTCCCATGCAGATCTCTACAGGAAAACACCTTCAACTCTCACTCTTTAAAAAAAAAAACAAAAAAAAAAAAAAACACGTGTACCGCTCACAGTAAAACACAAACTCCAACACAACTCAATCAACTCGAAAGCAAATAATGACATTCAGTGCTGGAGGCTAAATTTGAGCACCCCGGTGGCCAATCTTCAGTAATTCCACAAAAACAGTTAAAACCACAGATGTCCAACTCAGCTGCAGAATTAAATGTGCAGCTCAGCTCTCTTGTTTCCACCAAAACTGTTCGTCTGGAGCTCTACAGGATCATTATACATGGCCAGCTGCTATAGCCAAACCTTTGGTCACTTGTACCAATGCCAAACACCAGTTTCAATGTTACCAAAAGTGAAAATCTTGGGCTGTGGACAATGTGAAACATGCATCTCTGATATAAAACTCTTATATAACTACATAAAACTTTTATGAGTCCACCATCCAGGAGAGTTACAGCGTGGAGAAGCCCCAAAAGAAGCCCCAGACTGCTCTATGTTCAGTTATACACTATATACACATGCACACATATAATATCAATAATTACTTAGAAATTGAAGATGCTGTTTGTACGTTTTTGACTCTTCTAAAGCTTAAAATACCATCATATTTTTGCAGATATTTCAGAAACATGCTCAGTGAACATTCATTATCTGAAAAACAATGCTTAAGTCTGATATACTGCTTGTGTGTGTAAATGTGAATTACGTGCCGGAACAGTGGTCTTTGTTTTGGTCATTTAACCCGCCCACTGCCAGTTTAGCCAGTTATATTTCAGCAACCCGGGTTGCCAGATAGTGGAAAACAGCATATTTCATTCATTCAGAAAAGCTCTTAAAGCATGCGCTCGCTACCAAAATGCGACCTCTGGTGGACAGTAGCAGACTCTGAAGTGAGATTCAGATTCAGAGTTCCACATGAGGTGGTTATTAATTAGCTAATTATATAAATATTAGAAATGTAAACATTAGTTGAGCAGGTTACATTGTAACCCCGAGTCCTAACAACACGCTACATGACGAGATTTGCAGTGATGAGTAATTGGGCTGTTTGCCCCAGACGAAACACGACAGAAATGTAAATACAGCCAATCAGAAGCACAGAATAGTGCACTCACTGCACTCCAGCCATATGGTAAGGTTTATAATCTAATGATCACATATTAAAGCTCTTTAACATGATTAAATGTAGATGCTGGATCACGGATATGAGTCTCAGTTCTAGAGTTCAGTTTCAGACGGTTTATTTTATTTTCCAGATCTCGTTTAAGCCCCGGCTGGGTCAGTTGGCATTTCTGTGTGGAGTTTGCATGTTATCCCCATGTTGGCATGGGTTTCCTCTGGAGCGGTTTCCATCACAGTCCAAGGACATGCGATATAGGTGAATTGAATAAACTAAATTGTCCGTAGTGTAAGTATAAATGCAAGAGTGTACTGTATGATTGTTACGGCTGGAAGGGCATCCGCTGTGTAAAACATATACTGGATAAGTTGGCGGTTCATTCCGCTGTGGCGACCCCAGATTAATAAAGGGACTAAGCCGAAAACAAAATGAATGAATGAAGAAAAATTTCAGGTCTAAAGATTTTGCCTTCAACTACCAAGTCTATCTGAAAGGCAGTAATCACAAAAGCATTTCAAAAACAAGTCCAAAACTTCAGCACAGGAGACTTGCAAATCTGACCATTTTACTGATATGGTTTTGTTCAAGCAGTTTAAAACGCTTCGTTATAGATGTTTTAGCTCTGCCAAACGTCCACATGGATTCAGAACAAACAGCATGTGGTGTATCAGATGAAGGTCTGCCATTCTGAATTACAAACAGTCAATTGGCAGCAAAACTAGATCTTTTCATCATTTCTGAACCCTACTGAAAGATCAAGACCTCGTGTACAACTTCAGCATCTGAACCCTGCTGAACTCTTTCAATTTGGCCCTTTGAGGCTTTCATCCAAATGGTGGCGTTTTGGTGACTATCCCTTTAAATTCAAGTTCTCAATTGCAAGAACGCTGAGAACGGACTTGCATTCTTGTGGAGACCATTCTTGCCAGGTTACCTCGGTTAACTCGAGAGACCGCGAGAAAACAGAATGCATCCTCTGAGAAATTAGATGCTGCATTTTTCCTGATGGTCACATGACCTTCGCTCATTTTAATAGAAATTATTTAAAAATTACAGCATTCATGCAATGATTTATCGTTTTTCCCCTTTTCACAATATATACTATAAAACCGCTGAACGGACGCAAGTACGCTTAAGAACTCTAATGGCGGATGGCTGCTTCTTACTCAGGGCTGTTTATGATAATGAGGGAGAGATGGTCACTAGTGGGCGGGGTTTCCCCCTTTGATGACACGTACAAAGGGAAAATGTCAATCATAGTGTTTCTGCAGACTCTCCCTCATCAGCATAAACCATAGATATATACACTAGATATCGCATAGGGACCCTGAGCATGCGTCAATAGCGCCGCCACATTGGTACAGTGCTCCCAGGACAAATATCATTCAACCGCACTAGTCAAGACAGTGTTATTACGTGAAGATGCGGGACTTTATCGCTGTCTACGGGTGTAGTAACGAGCAAACAAAGAAAACAAAGCACAAAGGCAGAACATTTCATAGGTAATATTAAGTTTTACGTTTTTGTATGTTCTGAACTTTTGTGCTAATCAGGTAACATTATTGATGATAATACAGTCACTTACTGCATTCACCATAAGGCAAAGCTGCTCCAACTCGCACTAAACACTCGGCTTATGCTAGTTTTGTTGAATAACCTGAGCAAACAATGCAAAAGAAATATGACAACGAGATGCTGCGCTGCCAGAAACTTGTATTATTGTCAGCTAACGTTAGTGAAAGAGTCGTTCGGTGGATTCATTCACAAACGAATCGCTCCCTCCGTCAGTATGAGAAGTGAAAGCAGGAGAGGAGGTGTGTTTCAGGACATGATTAGATCAAGTTTAACAGGGAGGGTGAATAGTACATTTCTGTACACACAAACACAAGCTTTTTGTCAGGAATGCCCGTGCGGTCACTGATCCATCAATGTAGAAAAGTGATGTAAAATTATAATTTTCGTAATTAAAAAAAAAAATTGCATACTAACATCCAGGAAAACTCCCGATCATAGACATGTGTATATCTCTGGTTTGGATGACCACAGTCCTCCACTGTACCTTGGTCCTGCATTTATTTCAAAGGAGCGCTACCCTGTTCCAAAATGGCAGCTGTTTTGATGCATTCCTTCCAATAGACAACAACAGGGTAGGCGGCATCTAATGTATATATCTATGAGCATAAACAGCCCTGAGTGAGAAGCAGTCATCCGCCATTAGAATTTTAAGTCTGCTGCATAGCTCCGCCCTCTTTAAAAAAGAGCACAATCTCATTTGAATTTAAAGCGACCAAAATGGTACAGGGTCAGGTCCAAAGCGACTAATTATGTGGTATTTTAAGCTGAAACTTCACACAAACACACACACACTCTAGGGCCATCAGATACTTATTTTACATCTTGTAAACAGAGAGATAATAGGTCCCCTTTAAAATGACAATAATATCACTAGGCGCAATCATTCCTGTGACAATATATTGCACATCAAAAATTCTTTATTTTGTGACAGGCCTTTAGCTGGGTTGTTCATCAGAGCACATGGCCGTCACAGCGAGTGCTCGGCTGAACAGAGCAACTCTGAGCTGCCAGCTGGACAGGCCTGCAGGACACACACGAGCAACACACTCCAGTGCTCTCTACTACTGCACCACTACATCTCCTATCACACAGTGGGGGAAATAAGTATTGAACAAATTGTCATGTCGTTTCCTGGGAATAATATTTTTAAAGGAGCTGTTGACATGGAATTGAAGCAGATTTTAGTAATAAAAAAAAACTATACAGAAATAAATCAAACTGAATCTGAAAACTAGTTTTGTGTAATGCTGCTTTCACACCAGACGCGTCAAGCGGGAGTGATTTACATGTTAAGTCAATGCAAACGCGCGAATGGACATCCTGCGGCGCGATACGCGCGAATGACACAAATTGCGCGAATGGCGGGGGCGAATTGAGCGTTTTGCGCGTTTGACGCGCTTAACGAGCGTTTCGCCTGAATCTTTCGATTTCGAAAATCTGAACTTCAGCGTACATTCGCGCCGCGTTAACCAATCAGAAGCTTGCTCTTGTGGGGGTGTGATTGTGACGTAGAACCTGTTGTCGGTGTTTCGAGGGAAATCCTCCAGCCTTCACCGACAACAGTTCATCAAACTGGGCTGGGCTCAGTCAGAAGCACCACTGAAAGCCTCCGTCATCTAGGTTAAGTTTCTGGAGGAGTTTGAGCTCACAGAGCTGGATGCACCTCTAAAAGGATGTAGTGGACTCAGACCCGCTGCAGCGCATGACAGAGTGTGTGTGTGGTCACGTGATGTGTGTTTTCAGAGGTATAGTTTCAATTCAATTCAGCTTTATTTGTATAGCGCTTTTACAATGTAGATTGTGTCAAAGCAGCTTCACATAAATGCTCATAGTAACTGGAACAGTGTAGTTCAGTTGTCAGTGTTTAAGTTCAGTTCAGTTCAGTTTAGCTCAGTTCAGTGTGATTTAAAATCATTACTGAGAGTTCAAACACTGAAGAGCAAATTCATCGATGCGTAGCTCTACCAATCCTGAACCATGCGAGCCAGTGGCGACAGCGGAGAGGGAAAAAAAACTTCACCTGATAGGAGAATGAAGACAAAAAACCTTGAGAGAACCAGACTCAGTTCGGCACGACCATGTATATAGTGTGGATGGAGATTTTTTCAGAAACAGTAGGTGAAACTCCAGTGTGGACGTGAATCATTTTCATACTAAAATGCCATATTAAAACTAAAACGTGTTAGTGTTAGACCTCAGTCTCCAAGAGGTAGAGGTGAGCGCAAGGGCTAAGTGCTTTAATAATGATTTAAGAGAAACATCTGCCTACCTTTCAGAACGATGGGGTCTTTTCCTTCCCTACGTAGTGACTCCAAAACCACATGCAGCGGCTGAGACGGTGTCAACCGTCCCGGGTCCACTGTGCTCTCATCATACACCACCAGCTCTTTAGAAAAAATCCCTTTAAACGAGTCCTTGCTCTGCCGGCAGGAGATCAGGTCCAGGACGGTGATTTTACCCTGCTGGAGGCGCCGGCGGCTGATCTTGTCAGAGCAGTTAATATGCATCGCACCCCTAATGTGGCTCTTATTGAACTCCAAAAACGGCCGACAATCGATAATAACGGGAACCGGACCGATCGGGTGACCTAATGGACAATGCGTCAGCTTTTTAGCCAGCTCATTAGGGTGGATGACCCGCATGCCGCCCCGGGTCAGGCTGGAGGTGAGGCTGGGTGCACTGCCGTGCACACTCCCCTGCTGGACGCCATATCCCGATCCAGAGTGTAAATTGGGGCTGCTGGCGCTGACCTGGCCGTCTTTTTCATAGGTGGTCACGGTGCAACAGCTGGCACTGCTGCATCCACACGTCAGCGAGCGTGTGGAGCCGCTGGACGAGGGCATATACGAAAGCGTGGCGGCCTGGATTTTCACCACGGTGGTGCTGCTGATTACCGTGGTCTTGCCGACGGTGGTTTCCAGGTAGCTGGTGTCCAGGCGAAGTCGGAGTTCCTGAGGTCGGATAGGCCTTGGCAGCGCCACCACAATTCTGTCGTCTAGAGGAGACGGAGGCATGGAGAGACCACAGAGGGCTGGCACAGCACGGAGAACTCAGACGTCCTGACGAGCACTGGAAAACACAACAGAGTCATCGAACAGTGAGTACGCTACACCAAAGACTAAAGAATAGGGATGTAACGGTATCAGAATTTCACGGTACGGTAATACCTCGGTATGAATGTCACGGTACGGTATTTATTGAATCATTTACAGGAAAAAACAAAACTTATGAAAATACTCCAAAAAAGTGCCAAAAGTGTCAATGACATACAAATTAGCCATCTATCTGTAAGCTTTGAAACAGGAACTTCAATTTTAATAACAAAAAATTATTAAACCATGTAAAAATAATAAAGTTTCAATTTAGTATTGTTGAAAACTCATCACATTCAACATTTAATCACACTCGCCCATCTACACAGATGAGAGCTCTGCTAGTCGGACTTCTCATCAAGCATCTCCCGCTGGATCTAATCTCACTATATTTAATTATTAAACGGGATATTTCATTCATCTTGTTGTCTTTATCTAACGACATATTCCCTGACTTTGGTCATTGGAATCTATTACTTGTTCTCAGGTAACGTGTTTTGGCTGAGCGCAAAGATAAGTTAATGATTAATGTAACCACGTACATTCTGTATATTGACTGATCGCTTGCCTTTATTTCCTATAATGTATAAACTTATTGTATGTTATACTTTTAAAATGGCCATTATCGATTATTAAAACAGATACTCAGCAAAAGAGAGGCTGTGTTTCGTATTTTCACTGAAATTGAAAGGAGGCAGTTGTTATCGGCTCCGTTTTGTTATAAATATCCTCACAGTGAAGATGACTCTCATATATGCAGCACGACGCCTCAACATGTCTGCTGTCTAAGTTGCTAATATTAAAATGAAAATAGGCAGTTCCTTAAATCATGTTTACATTTTATTGTTAATAAAGTGAAACAACGAAGCCAGGGTGATGTGAATGAAGTTATAAAGTACACTGTTCCCTTTGAAGATTTACCCGTGTCCTCGGTATAATCTGCTTTTCCATATCAAACTGAGAAGAAGAGACTGCAGCCTTGATCAAACTTGCGAAGTCTGAACTTACAAGGAGATGATGCAGGACTGAACTGTGCGTGTTAGGCTACTTAATATTCAGGAAAAGCACCAATCAGAGAGGCGAATGTCTGCAGCCCCGACTCAGTTTTCAGATGTCTCCGTTTTCCATTATCCACACTGAGACATTATCCACACATTTCGAAACGCTCCGTTTTCGGCGCTCGAGAGCTCTTTTCATCCCCGCTTCTAGCAGCACACTCCATTTCCGCATTACTGGATCTGTAGCGACAACAGACCGCAAGGGATGATGGTCAAGCAGGGGCTGATGGGTATTGTAGTTTTCGCTACCTCCCGTTCGCTTCATTCGCCTAAGCAAATTTTCTCAGAAGACCTATAGTTTTACCGAGTCATGCGACTTCGGTAATATCGAAAAAAATTAATATTGCGGTATGACGGTATTTACAATACCGTTACATCCCTACTAAAGAATACACAAGACATGTCACTCGCATAGTTTTAAATGGGGAAAAGTGTAAAAGGCAATATTGCGAATAAAGCCCCGCTTACTAGGCGATTTTTATTTTTATTTTTTTCGACTAATTCAAATTTACGTTTTAGGTTTAAGGCTGATTTATACTTCTGCGTCAAACACCGGCGTATGCTACGGCGCTGACGCATAGCCCTTCGTCGTGGCCGTCGCCATCACTGACGTGCACCTCTCAAAAAATGTAACTACATGTCGCAACGACGCGTAGCGTAAGCTCTGTGATTGGTCGGCTTGGTAGAGCTGACGAGTCTGGGCGGGACCGAGAGCCGCGCGAATGGCGCAAGCAATTGTTTACAAGTGTGGAGTCCCGTGAAGGAGCTCCGGGTGAAAAGTTTTGTTTTGTGTTTACCTCATAGTTAAAGTTGTTGCACGTCCCACCAGTTCCAAGAAAGCAGCGAAGAAACTCGACACAGAGGAACAGTTACACCTCACTGCCAACTAGCGTTTCAGAAGTGTTAATGCAGACCGACAGAGACGGCACGCAGAAGTATAAATGCACAGCCACGCGCGTTGCATGCGCCGTGAGTTACGCCGGTCACCTGACACAGAAGTATAAATCAGGCTTTACGTTTCAAATCGAGAAATCGCGATTTTTAAAAAAAAATATATTTAATACATTATAATGGCACCAATGCGCTTTGGTTCACTCTATGAAGCAGGAAGCACACCAGAACCTCTCGGCTAAACAGGTTTCTATACACACACCGGCGCGGTCCAGCCACGATTCAGGAGGCAGTTCATATTTCAGCCACGCCACAGAGCGCCATCTGATTGGTTTCATGTTAAATATCATGCAAATGTGCGCGTCTGGTGTGTGATAGTTTAAACTGTCATGTGCGCGCCGTGTCGTGGCGCTTCTGGTGTACGACCTGCTTGACTGCCTGTTAAAGCGTAAAGTCATGTAGGATTTTACTTGTTGCATTAGTCTGAGTCACGTCTGTGTGGATTGTCAAGACATTCCCTCATCAAGTCGATAAACTCGATCTCAACATGTATGAAGGACGTAAAACCCTGCCATGTGAAAAACCGCGCCGATCTTTTGGTTCGAACACGAGTAGAGGTGAGGGCCAGTAGCAGCGAAAATGAAAGTACCCGCCCCCCATGACGTCATTTAGCGGACCTAGTTGAAAACCAGACAGATCAGGCAGCATGATACAGAGAGTGGATCAAAGCGCATCAAATGATCGGTATTTAAAAGGGGAAAAAGGAAAAATAGATTAAATATATTAATTTATATTAGACACACATCTGGTGCTTGTATTTGCTCCTGCTATACGTCCATAACTTCACACATTGGGTTAAATTAGGCTTTACAGTTTCCATGTTCAGTCCTTTTCTTCCACTGTATCTTTTGAAGAAAAAGGCAGCAGCTTTACAACCTGTCATTCAATCAGAAGACAAAGCGAAAGCCGAGCTGACAGCCAATCTTTCCTAGGCTCAGCAAAACTTACCTCTAAAATACCTCTGTATTCCTGCAAGTGCAATATTTACACAACTATTTCTTACTCAAATCTTCAGCAACGCTATTTAACTCATGAATATTTTACATTTATTTACACCTTGACTGATTTTTGTATGACATGGCCATTAAAAATACAATGTTCCTTAACAGATGTTTTTTCAAGTTACTTTTAAAGAGAATGTTACTTCAGTCATGTTGTTGTAATGTTTTGAGAAGACTAGTAACACAATAAAAAAAAAAAAAAAAAATCGAAATCCTGAATCTGTCAAACTTTATAAAAAAACCTAGATTTTTTTTTTTTTGCCAAATGGCCCAGCCCTACCGCTTACTAGTCGAGTAGCCAATCATCGATCAATTTAGATCAGGGGTGTCAAATGTACAGCCTGCGGGCTTGATCAGGCCAGCAAACGGGTTTAATGCGGCCCGCGGGATAATTCTGTAAAGTACAAAAATGAGCTGCAATTTTTTTAATAAAAGAAACTGCTGTTCTGATTGTGTCCACTGGATGGTGTCAGTTTGACAGCCTTCTCAGAAGCTTTCAGTTAAGATGAACACCGTTTCTATAGTTATACTTTATTTATAGATAAAGTATGACTCTGCATATAATCACTCTATCATGCTGGAGTTTATAGCCGTTTCGCTTTATTTCAGGACGCATTAACACTGCTCTGAAGGTCTAATCGCTGTTTTAAGTTATCCAGAGCTGTATGAATGTAAAATTTTTAAATATCACAATCGTATTAAATATTACAATTGTAACAGACAGCAACACTTTTGCACAATCGATACCCAGCTGATTCAGTCGTTTCATAAGAGGACCGCGCTTCTTCTCTGTTTTCTTTGTCAACATAAAGGCAGTGAGATTATTTTCGGCCCCTTGTTCAACTGCAAGACATATTTGACCTGCGGGACGATAACGTATAACCCGTGCCTACAGACACATTTGCCAAAGAAGCAAAATGAAAGAAGAATATGCTGTTTAACAGACGTGTTGATGCCAAAAAAGCGCTGATGTTGACCTGGATCTGCGTCATAAACGCAACAAATAGGCTTTACCTTTTATTTTAGAGCTTATAAAGCATGTATGCACATTAATGCAATATCATATTTAAACAACAAAACTGTTTACAAAAAGTCAACATATGCGCGCGTGCGTGTTGTTGTCTTCTCATCACTTAGCGCGCGCACTTGAGGCGCGATGGAGAGAAAGGAAACCATAGGCTATATCAAGACATAATCTTTAAAATAATGATTTCTATTAAAAATGTAAAAAGGTTTTGTGATTATAATAATAACAGCGGGGCATTAAATATATGCATATTTTCCGTGGAGCGAGCGATTTGAAGAAGTCTGCTATTTTATTTTTGACGAAAGACAAAAATATGACTGGAAAAAAAACAGCCTATGCCGGTTATTAAAAATAATCAGTCAATATTTTCGATTTGTAATATAAATTAATTATTTAAGTGGAAAATAATTTAGGGCAGTTCTATTTATTTTATTTAGTTTATTCTGCTTTTCTGTGCTAAACACTGCAGGTGGGTGAAAATGCTCTGTTGTATTGTTCTATTATTAATATGCTAGCAAATAAAAATAAATCAGTATTTTAAAATGCAATATTTAATGTGTCAGACACAAAATAGACACGTCAATTTGTTTAATATAAAATTAATAGTAATCTGACCAGTTAACCGTTAATAACCGATTAATGAGCGGCGGTTGTCGGTTAGCAAAATTAACCGAAATGAGCATCCCTATTCTGCACACATGACTAAATGCTTGCCTTTATTTCCTATAATGTATAAACTTATTGGGAACACTTTACAATAAGGTTCATAAGTTAATGCGTTTACTAACATGAACTAATCATGAACAACACATATACAGCATTTATTAATCATAATTGAACATTTACTAATGCATTATTAACATCCATGCTTGTTAACATTAGTTAATGCACCGTGAGTTAACATGAACTAACAATGAACTACTGTATTTTCATTAACTAACGTTTATTAACATTAATAAATACTGTAGTAAATGTATTATTCATTGTTTGTTCATGTTAGTAAATGCATTAATTAACATTAACTAATAAACCTTATTGTATTGTGTGACCAACTTATTGTACGTTTTACTTCTATAATGGCCATTATTGATTATTAAACCTGATATTCAGCAAAGGAGAGGGAATGTTTCATATTTTTCTATAAAAGTGAAAGGAGGCAGTGATGTTATGGCTCTGTTTTGTTATAAATATTCATACAGTAAAGATGACGATCATATAAATATGTAGATACAAGATGCCTCAATATTTTGTGTCTGTTAAGCTCTTAATATCTAAATGAAAAAGGGCTGTTCCTCATGTTTTCATTTTATTAAGAAAGTGAAACAACGTAGCCAGTTGATGTAAATGACGTTATACAGTAGCCTAAACTGTTCCCTTTGAAGAATTACCCGACGTATCCTTGGGGAGTTTGTTTACTGTATCAAACTTCTGATGTATGAACTTAAGGAGAGGATGTAAGACTGAACTGTGCGCACTTAATATTGAGGAAAAAGCCTCAATCACAGAGGTGAATGCCCCCCCCCCC